TTTTTTTAAGCATTTTTCATATTCGGCCGTGTCTGTCCCGAACGTATCAGGTACCAAATACGCGCGCCCCACGATCGCCCCAAGCTCGACGAGTAATTTCACAAGATTCCATTTCGGCGCTTATTTCGCTACGGCAACCGGAACCTAATGCGGACATAGAGCTTCTAATTTACCCGGCCATAAGAACCTGGGGCGTCCGTGTGCCAGCGGCTGACAGGTCTTCGAATTTCGATAGGGTAGCAGTGCGGTTGCAGACATCGTCTGCCTGGCGTGCTGGGCACTCCTGACCAAATCCTTGCAGACCAGGGCCCATAATTTTAAAAAATATAACTAAGTACTCACTACTCACTGCAGTGAGTGACAGAGAGTGCATTTTCTCGTCGACGAATACGTGAAGTCACGGACGGAGACAGACGGACGGACGGACGGACAGACGGACATGGCGAGCACAATAGTGCATTTTTTCCATAAATGAGAAAATGCGCTCAAAAGACATGAGATCTCAAGTTAATCAGCCAATCATTGACGGGCTTTGAAGCAAAATCCACCAATCATATATAAGAAAATAGAGCGTAAGTACTTATACGTTCACTTAGCGAATTTTGCAAGTTATATACCCCTGGGGCCCTGTCTTGCCAGCTTACAGGAAGTCGTTCGGTGTGCAGAACTGCCAGTATGAATGGGTGAGCAAGAATTTTTCTCCACCTTTACAGACTGCTTCTATTTTTGCTGCTGGTGGGAAAGTTGTCGGTTATGAACTTATTGCTAGATGGCGACTCGTAGGTTGTACAGTTATTGTTTGATGACAAATTGTCGACTGTGGAGTTATAGCTTGGTAGAATTTAGTCGACTGTGGAGTTATAGATAGGTAGTCGTCGATTTTTGAATTTTTGTTTGATGGCAAGTAGTCGATTATGGAGTTATTGTTATAAAGCAATTCGTCAATTATGGAGCTATAACTTGATGGCAAGTCGTTGGTTGTGGCACTTGTGTAGTTATTGCTAGATGACAAGTCTTCGGCTGTAGAGTTTTCGCTCGTTGACAAGTCTTCAACTTTGTAATTTGTGCTTGATGAAAAGTCATCGATTGCGGACTTATTGCTAGATGGAAATTAGTCAATTGTAGAGTTCTTGCTAGATGGCAAATGGTCAGTTATGAATTAGTAATTGATGAATTAACCAAGATCGTTCGTTCACAGAGAAGTATCTCCTTCAACAGCCGTAGTTTGCTGCGTCCGAGGAGCACCGAACAGCGCCGTCATTCACCTGAAGAAACTCGGCTGGAAGATCGTGTGGTGGCATTTCCCTTACCTCTGAGACACTGATTTGCCTTGGGTTTGTCCATCCTGTTCCCCTTCAAGGAATGGAAGTGAGGGATATATGAAAGCACATAAACGATATTTCTACGTATCAATTTCCATTCGGTTTGACACTTCCATGATCTCCGAGATGCCGATTTGACTGGGATGTCGGCCATCCTGTCCTCCTTCCAGGAAAGAGGTGAATGAGGTAAGTTAGCACCTAAACCATATTTCTTTCAGTTTGAAGGCAATAATATTTACACTTGTACAAGTTTTATTTCCAGCTCCACACACATTTCGATACACAAGAAGGGAAGAAATTAACTGCTCATAAGTCGATCATTAACACCAAGACAAATTTAAAAAGTTTAAATATAACAAATTAAGCTCAGTATTTGAGTCTGTCGGAAAAAAAATCTCTGACCGCGAAAATTACTCAATAGAAATTAACAGGAATTCAGATTGCATACAAATTATTGGTATTTTTTATACATTGATGTTCATGTAAGTTTCCCTCTTAGGAGCTATGATTTCAACTAAATGTTTAATTGAGCTGACAAGGCCCAAAA